CTGAGGGGGTAAGAGATAGGAAGGGATGCAAGGCTGCGTCAAACTGCTGAATAACAGATATTTCCCAAGGGAAGGAAATGCTGTAATGCTCAGTACGGGTCGCTCGCTCTCCCCCTCCTTTTCTCTGAACACTTCTAGAGAGAGAAATCGCTCCTACCTCAGACATCTGTTTCCCATTTCCAGGTAACCTCTGATGTGAAGAGCTTATATTTGGAACAAAAGAAGGAAAACCAATTCAGCTGCAGTTAGAAGAAAGAGGTACAGCTTAAAGGTTGTGGGCAGTGGTGACCGGTGACAGGAAGGGTGTAGATGGCATGTGCCTGTGAGTGTGAGTGCCTTAGTGTGTGTGCATGTGCACGTGTGCAGGGGATGGGATAGTCCTATTGAACAAAGTTCTGGGTTCTGCCTGGATTTCCCCTGCTGGCCTGGGGAATCAGTTCTATGTGGCAGGTGTGGACAGCTCTCTGCTGCCTGTCAGTGGTCCATGGAGGGAAGAGCCCACTGCCTCCAGCCCAAACCTCTCCTGAGGCTCTCTCTGGCAGTTGATGAACTGGAGGAAAAGTTCTAAACAGGATTTAAGCCAATGCCCCTGCTCATTGGGTTTTATCTGACTTTATTTTCAGAAAAGTCCAGTTAGGGAGAGACTGGAAAACTGATCCTGGATGTCAGGCACTTACTATCTCAGCATAGGCTCAAAAAATAATATTATGTCATGTGTATTGTCATCTGTAAGTTACAGAGAAGGAAGCTAAGCTTCAGAAAATTTAAATGACTGCCCAAAGTCTGTAGCAAGTAAGTAGGGACTCTGATATTCAAGCTCAGGCTAGTTTGATTCTGAACACCATGCTCTTTCTGTGACTTATCTTGATTCCAATCTTGTATTCAACTGTTTGAGGTTAATAGGCTCTAGGGACACTGTCAGAGTTATCTTATCCACCCCGAGTCGGTAAGGTACAAGCAGGTGTATACTTTGTTTCCTATAGAATTTTATTCCAGGGAGGGAAAATCCAATAATGTGTTCAGTGCCAGGAGGAAAGAGACACACACCAGTGCTCAGCAGTCAGAATGGGCTCCTCACCTGGGTCTATCTCTCATGCGACGTTTGGGGGAACTCAGCCAGCAGGGGCTTGATGAGTGGCTAGCACTCCTCTGAGCACTTTGGGGTATGCATATCTATAAGTAGAACCATGTATTCTTGAAAATAGTGCTACTTTAGTAGTTCAGAAAAGGGGGAGCATCAAAATGACTTGAGTTTAAACTTGGCTTTGCAATAAGAGTTTATATAGGAAGATAGAGGATATAGACATTTCAGGGGGAGACTGCCCCAAATATGCAGAAACAGCACTGAGCCAAGCTTTTTGGTGAATATTGAAAAAATGTGGAAATGGTAGAGTCAAGAATAATAAAGAAGCCTTAAAGAGAAAGAAGAATTTGAGGATTTATCCTGAAGAACAGACTGACTCTTTTTTGCGTTTAGAACAGAAGCCAGAATCAAGTGTTGTTTAGGGAAGGTCAACACGGGGAGAGACAGATGTTCGCATCAGTACTGGTGAGGTGATTCACTGCTCTCTTGATCTTTAGGGGATACCTGTGGGGATCTCAGGGTGGCGGAGTTCCCCACTTTTGTGTCACTCCATGGACAAGCAGCTGGTACAGCTTCCAGAATTCCTTACTGATAGGCACTTGTTCTGTGTAGAGGTGTGGGAGACTAAATATTCTGACTAAAGACTAAAGAGACAGATTTGCTAGGATTTTGAGTCCTGGGCAGAGAGCTCAGAAATTGATTTCATGCTTATGGCAGCTCTGGGCAGTTTCTTATCTCTGATGGTTCCCTGTTGCTAAGAGGCTAGAGTCTCCTCGATGTGACTCCAGTGTGCTTTGTAAATAGTGTCCCTGACTTTCTCCCAAAACTGTCTTCCTTGTCTCTACCTTCTTGCTGCCGTTTCTAAAACAGGTCCCATTCTTTCTACTCTGAGCCTTGCATATGCTGATCCCTTGGCTCAAAGTGTCTTTCCTTCTTCCCTGCCCACTCCCACCTTTCCATGCCTTCAGTTTCTTTCTTGTCCCTCCCAATTGTGTTCTCTGTCCAACAGCATAGTCAGTGCTGTCTTGTCTTTTGTCTGGTAGCCACTTGACTTCTATCTTTTCCTGGCCATTATGGAAGCACCACTCATGTTCCTGTTTGATTGCAGATTTGACCAGACTGCCTGGGTTTGCATTCTGGTTTCAACTCTTCTTAGTGACAGAACCCGGGGCAAGTAGCTCTTTGTGTCTAGGGTTTCTAGTCTGCGAGACTGGGGTGACGGCTGCTACCTCACAGTGTAGTGACGAGGAGGAAGTGAAATCATGCATGTGGTCACTTAGCATAATGCACAGGCCATTGGAAGCATGTCATAAATGTTGCTGTTGTTGCCCTTCCAACAATACCTTGCTTATAGATACACATGTACCTATATGTTGAATTGAATTGTGTTTATGAAGTGGTTAGTGTTGTGTTTTCAGAGGTCAGAAGCAAAGACTGGGGGTCATGAAAGTCTAAGTAAGGGTGGTGTCTAGGGAATGGGGAGGAGGAGGTGTCACCACGTTACTGGTTCTTATATCAGCACGGCTTCCATGGCTCCCAAGTACACGTGTTTTCCTGACATCCTCAGGCCAGGTAAGGCCGTGTCACTAAGGCAACAAAGTACTCTAGGTATCATGGTACTTGTACCTTGGTCTGGCCTGAATGACCTCTCTCTCTCTTTTTTTTTTTAATCTAGGGGCTAAACTTTTAAACTGTTACACTCAGACAGCCACATAGATGTCTCTATGTAGTACAGGGCCTTGTGCAAAGTAGGTACTCGATAAGTTTTCTTTTTTAAACATTAATGAGTACCTACTACATTTGGAGTACCGATTGGGGGGCAAAGGAGATATTGACGTAGTTGAAGGTGCCTTGGGTTGTGAGTCCAGGGTCTGGGCTCTAGTCATCACTGTGTAGGTGCATAATAATCTTAACAAATATAACTGACTCTTACCGAGTAGTTATTTGGTAACACCAAGTCTTTTACTTGTTTTGTATTATTTAATACCTTTATATCTTTATAATTTGATTGGATAGGTACCACTCCTGTCTTCATTTATGTTAAGGACATTGAGGCTTATGTGGTCCTGCATCCCAAGCCAGTAAGCAGACCTGGGCTTTTAATTCAGGTCTGCCCAACTTCAGATCTAAACCTTTTGTCACTACGCTCATGCACACCTCAAAATTCTTGGGTCCCGGTTTCTTCCTCTGGAAAATGAGGGGGCTGTCATTGGTGGTCCTTAGAGGTCATACCAAATGCTCCAACCCATCTGGGCTGTAACGCTGGGTAGACAGGCATTTGGCAGGCAGTTCAGGTCCTCATTGCTGTTGGGCTGTGGTGTCTCTCAGTGAGACAATGCAGGCAAACGGCCTCGGTGCCCAGCAGGCTTCCCTGTACCTTCCGTTGCCTTTCCCTCCTCTTGTAGCTCTAAATTCTTTGACTTCCTGATGCCGAAGAAATATGGTAGGTCCGTGCTGCCCAAAATCTGATCTGTAGGCTTTGTTGGTTCCTGACAACATTTTACTGGTGATGGGTGATGAGAGAAATGAGGACAAGGGAGGGGACTTTTTAAAAAAAGAAAAGATGATTTCATTATAATAGTCTGTGTCCCTGATAAAATGATGATGATAAGAAATCATGACTTTAGTTTTTTCAGGCAATGTACACAGTCTATGACTTTAGGTCCCATGACCCAGATTATGCCTGAATTTTCACTGGTCTGTAAAAGCAATTCATTTTCTGGGAGTAACACCTGGGGCAGGGTTTTTAAAAACTCTCTGTGCTAATGAGATTTTTTTTTCTTTAATTTCTACCATGTCACAGACCAAGATTCTTGTAAATTTAAGGTGCAATTGCATTACAAGAAAACTACAGTGAAAAACCAGGCATATACAAATATCCACTCCATTTTTTAAATCATGAGGGTAAAAGGACAAAATTATGCTATTTGTAGCAAAAACTTCTAATTTTGGTACTTATTTCTTGGGAGACTGGCAAAAACAGATTTATGGATCACACTTGAACACAGGCACAGAGGGGAGGACACCCCCCTACTTTGAGGGGGGGAGATCTGCCAGGAAATAGAACAGGATTCTTAACCAGAGATTCATGCGTATAATTCAGAAAGCAAGTGAATTTGGAAGGAACAATACTTATTTTTTCTTTGCTGAAATCCAACTGAAATCTGGCCTGTCTTTTAAGTATAAAGTGAGGTCACAAACCTCAAGACTGTTAGAAGTACCTAAGATTTGGTTCCAGGAGAAGCTACAGATACTTTTTTATCATATTTTGAAGATACTCTCTAGGTACTATTTACACTTATTACTATTTTGAGATTGTGGTAGCTGTTAGACTTGTTCCTAGGTTAGCTAATACATCATTAAAGAAACACATGCATTATTATACTGAAATTTGAAAAGAAATTCTAGTAACTAATTCGATGGAATTGGTTTCTTTTGAATTCTTAACATATTTTGTCTCATGCATTTAAGAATGTAATTCTAAGAGAGGTCTATTGGAGGCACCAGCCTGCCAAAGGGTCTCCACTGCATGAAAATGCTTGAGGGCAGCTCTTCTAGAGACAAGAAAAGAAGAAAACTACTCTGAAAACATTTTCAAAGTTATTTCCTTCAAACACACATCAGCAGATTGTGCTAGTAAATGTCACTGGGACCCTGGGATGGTTTATTTGTTGCTCTTTATCATCTACCCATTGACTCAGTCTGTGTTTCTTTGCCAGGCCCCCCGAGTGTGATCAGTGCTGGATGTATATTCAGCTCCTGGAGGGGTTAGATGGGGGCAGGGTGGTCGCTTCTTCCTCCAGGTTCTTAGGGATGGTCTCAGAAGAAGACTACGATTACTAATTAACTAGCAGATCTGATCTGGAGAATGAAATCTGGGCAGTCATTTGCATTTGAAACCCATTAACCTTAACACACTCACAGCTTGCCAGGGCTGTGGCAGCCCTCGGTGGACTGTGCTCCTTGCTTTGATTCCTAGGCCATCCTTCAGTGAGACAGCAGGAACAGCAGCAGGAGGTGGTGAGGTATGTTTGTGACCTGTGACTCGTGTGTTCATTTGTGGATGTAAATATGAGTGTGCAAGTGTGTGTGAACTGCCACTGATCTCCGTGAGTTAGTGCACCCTTGAAATTGGTTAAATACAAAACTAAATAACAGAATACAGCATTACACAAAGACACACATAAAACAAGATTCAACTCTTTTCTTTTTTGGTGTGTGTGCCTGTGTGTGCGTGTGCACACGTGCCCATGCCTCCAGACTGAGGCTGGGTCCGCAAACCCTGCTGTACCTAAACTTCTGTGTGTGTGTGTGTGTGTGTGTGTGTGTGTTGGTGTGTATGGGTGGGGGGTGCTGGATGTGAAAGAATAAATATTCAGGGTAGCAGTTCTTTCTGATTCAGGAGGTAAGGTGGGAGAGGGGAGGCAGAGGAGTTAAAATAGAACCAGTGGGGATGTTCCTTCTGAGAGGATGTGGGGTTGTGATTTTGGGGTGGTCATTAGAGAAACCGTCGTGGTCAGGAAATTGAGAAACTATTACAAAGCTCCATGAGTTGGGTGCCTTAGTGACCGAATCAAGAATTATTCTAGGGAATAGTCTCAGGAGTGTGCACGCGTCGGTGTGCTGGGACCTGTGAGGCATGGGAGCGATTTTAGGTGGAGTCTGTTAGGAGGATGTGGAGGGAAAGTGTAGGCCCTGGATGGGGGGTCATGTGTGAAATAGAATGGAAGTGCTCAGGGGAAGGGGGGAAGTAGTGGCTTGTTGCTGGCCTCTCTCTGGTAAAACTTAAAGAAAGTCTGGTCCTTACTAGTTGCTAAAGTCTAGCTAGATACAAGTGGGCGTTTCCTGGCACTGAGGTGGGAAGAAAGAGTTTCTGTTGGGGAAAGAGGAGGAGGCCAAGATCAATGCCATGGTCTCACTAGAATAGGCTTACCAATGGTCCCTGATACAGGGGCTGAACGATGGTTTCCATGTGCTAAAGGGACCTCCTGATCCCCAACTGGCTATCGCTCTGATGTCAGGTGGTAGAAGAGTGAGTACACGTGTGCTGGGCAGGGAGGGAGTGAGAGGGAAGTGGTCTTGGACTGTTGAGCTGGGTTGAGCCAAAGTATATCAGGGAGCAAATGAAGTAGAAGGACACTCTGTCCTGTACCCTAGTTTTAAGATAGCTCATCACTGTTTCACTCATACTTGCACACGATGTCGGTGATTTCTCGTTGTCAACCATTCCTTCACAAGTGAGTTTTGATGAGCTAATAAAGTTACTTCACAAACGGCATGGAAGCATGGAAGAGTCATGAGTAGAGGGACTCCGAAGAAGAAAATTTCCATTTGAAGTTAGCTTGGGAGTTAGCTGCAGAAGATGATGAGAAAAATAAACCTTTGCATGTCCTGATGTTGGGGTCATAGTAGGCCATACATGTCTAATAGAGATGATCCCTTTGTGGTTCAGGGAAGGAAACTGAGGCCCAGAGTGGTTAGATAGTAGCTGGGAGATGATGAACCAACCCAGGGAGTTTTGCCCAGGATTTAGTCATGGATTTAGACTATTTTAGAGAAGTAGTCATGACTTGCCAGACTGCTTTTTGCAAGTGATTCCTAGTCTGTAAAACTAACCCTCTCTTTTTCCACTAGATCTCTTGCCTTGTGTTATCAAGGGGTTTTTAGAAGAAAGACTTAGATCATCATATTGCAAGTCAGACACTGATCAGATGATCCTATGCAAATACAGACACCGTATTTAGAAAATATGACAATTGATTATCCAGTTTTTCCAGATTAATTCAGATAGCTCTTTCAACACTTTGGGCCCCTACCTGATTAATCTATCTACTTTGCTTAAACAGTTATAACAATACCAGGAAAATAACCTTTGGCAACTATTCATATAACCACTTTAATTCAAGAAGAGAAAATTACTGTTGTAGTCAGCACAGTTTATGTACAGTAATAATTTGAACCTTCCAAGCGAGCTTTGCCTTGACCAGTCTAAGCGAAAGCACACCACATTCCTCATTGCCGCCTCCACCGTTTTTTCTCCGTAGTACCTACCACAGTCTAACCCATCATAGATGTACGTATTTTGTCTATTGTGTCTTTTTTCTAACCATAAGAACATAAATCCCATGAGAGCAAGGATTTTTATCTGTTTTGTTTGTTTTAGAACCAGCTCCTGGAAGAGTGCTTGGCACATTTTGGGAGCTTAATACATAATTGATGAGTAATAAATAAATTGCCCAAAGACGCAGCATTGATAACTCGATGATGAATAAACATGGAAAGTGTGCATCAGCAGCTCATTCTCCTTCATCTCACAGAGGATTTAACACACTGCCGTGGGCCATAAACTAAAAGCGAATTGACTTCTATGGATGCTTACAAAAGCACTTTGAATCTCCCAGGTGCTATGGGGACTGAAATGTTGCCACATATTTGTTTCCTTTTCTTTCCCTAAGCCTTCCAACCCCATGATTGTTTCTGGAAAAACACAGCCATCTTCCATACATCCTACCTCATCTTAATTTAGCAGCCTTAATTATTTATAAATATAGAAGTTTGCTATATTTACATTACACTGTGGAAGCTGGCTTTGGAGTCATATTGCCTGGTTGGAAGCTTGGCTCTGAGTTCTGGACCATGGGCACTGCAGCTTCTAGCAGGCCCCGTTAACTATTTATAGAATGAGGATAATAACAGTCCCTCCTAATAAGGTAGCTGTGAGGACTAATGGAAATAATGCATCTATGTGCTTAGCCATGTACCATGCACATTCTGAGTACTTGGTTAATGACACAGATACTATCTGATAAAACCACAATCTCACAAAAAGCCTAAAAAAAAAAAAAGCCTAAGCGTGTGTACAATATGGGACATTATACCATAGAATACAGAGTAATGGTTGAAAGTTCTGGCTGTCGAGTGCAAAGGCCAGGTGTTGAAATTGTGGCTATGCTTCTTATCAGCTGTGTGACACTAGTCAAGTTATTTGACCTTGCTAAAATTTTAATTTCCCCATTAGTAAGTGGGCCTGTAGGAGTAAGTAACATGGGGTTGTTGTAAGGATCGTATGCAACAAATTATGTGACTTCTTAGTACATTCACTCACTCTTCATTAGTTATTTTTATCATTATTATCAAATTGCACAATTTTTGTAATATGAAATAGAATATTCAAAGTTGATGACGGACTTCCAAGTAGCTGTTTGTTAAAAATATGTTTTTTTCAAGATTTTATTTATTTATTAATGAGACAGAGAGAGAGAGAGAGAGGCAGAGACACAGGCAGAGGGAGAAGCAGGCTCCATGCAGGGAGCCCGACGTGGGACTCGATGGAGGGACTCCAGGATCACACCCTGGGCCAAAGGCAGGCGCTAAACTGCTGAGCCACCCAGAGATCCCCTAAAAATATTTTTTAAAAAACAATTAAGCAATTTAAATAGTTTTCTTATTGTATTTGCCTTTTGCCATCTGTCTTGATTTTGTTTTCCTAAGTGGCATTCCTAAATGAGACTGTAGGTTTCACCATTAGGATCCCTGTGATTCAGAAAGTAACATTAGCCAGATGATGCTGATGACAGTGTTTGTTTTTTTCTTAAGGTTTAAGGAAATGTTTCTCTTTTATAGCTAGAAAATTATTATTATTGTTCCAGAGAGCAGGTAACTGTATTTGAATATATGACATAAAAAGACTTTTGATGAGACAAAGGATTTTTTAAATGCAAATGATACATTATTAGAAGTCTTATTTACCCAAGTGTATTAATTATCTCTTGCTGCATAACAAATTAGCCCCAAATTTCACAGCTTGAAACAAATGTTTTTTTGCCTCATAGCTTGTATGCGTTAGAAATGCAGGAGCAGCTCAGTGAGGTGGTTCTGCTTCAAGGTCTCTCCTGACCTTGCAACCAAGATGTTGCCAGGGACTGTAGCCATGTGCAGACTTGACTGGTGCTGGAGAACCCACTTGTGAGGTGGTGCCCTCACCTGGCTGTTGGCTAAAGGCTTCAGTTTCTCGTGGGTTGTTGGACCTTTCTAACAACGTGCTAGAGTGTCACTCTGACATGCAGCTGGCTTCTCCAAGAAATGAACCAAGAAAAAGAGTGAGGAAGTGATCTAACAGAAATAGAAAGGAAGAAGCTGTACTGCCTTTTATAACCTTATTTTGGAAGGTATGCACCATGCCCTCTGCCATATTTTGTTTGTTAGAAATGAGTCACTGAGTCCAGCCTACCAAGGAGTGAGGGATGGGAGACGTGGCTCCACCTCTGAAGGGAGGAGTATCAAACAGCTTGTGGACTTCTTTTTTTTTAACCACGATATCATAATTTTGAATATCACTGAATTTTATTTTATTGCACTTTTTACTCAGTCCTCTCTCGATGGATGTTTACACTAGTTTCAATCTCTTGCTCTTATGGATGTTTCATGTCATGCTACAGTGCAAAACCTTTATCTCTACATACTTGTGCAGGTGTATTTGTGGGCTAAAGCTCTATAAGTGGAATTCCAGATTGAGGGTGTACATAGTTTTAATGGTTTTTGCCAAACCTTCATTAAGCATATTTTGTTTACATTTGACTGTGGGTACCTTTTACTTCATCATCTTTCACACAATGTGTTTTATAAACATTGGAGGGATTTAAAATAAACAATCCCCTATCTCATAACCACTAGCAACAACCAAAGAGGAGACATGGCCACTTAGGGCATTCTGATAACTTCTTTCTTTGCCAATGAACGTGAGATCACTCTTCACCTCATTAGCTAACTTCATTCTATTAGGTATGGAAGTCTGAGATTCTCTCTCCCTCTGCACTCCCGTGTGCTCTCTTCCTCTCTCTCTCTCTCTCAATAAAGAAATCTTTTAAAAAAAGAGGGCATTATGTTGACAAAGAGCAATTTCTCATCAGTGTATAGGAAGCAAATCCCCTTGTGATTTCATCCTTGGGCAAAGGATTGAGGAGAATATGGAGTTTGCGTGAGGACACATTGATGGGATGGAGAGCAAGGCTGCAAGGCTGTTCTC